TTTTTTTTTTTGAGACAGGGTCTCCCTGTAGCCCCAGCTGTGCTGGAACTCACTAGGTAGACCTGGCTGGCCTTGAACTCACAGAGATCTGCCTGCCTCTGCCTGGGACAAAGGCGTGAGCCACCACGCCCGGCATAATCTGAATAGACACTTCTCCAAAGAAGATGTACAAATGGTCAACAAATATATGAAAAAAGTATCATTAGCTATCAGGGAAATGCAACCTCATTCAATATAATGGCTATTATTTAAAACAAATAACTGCAAGAGAGGAAGTGGAGAAAAGGAAACTCACATATACCAACAAGGGGAAGGTCATTTAGTACAACACTATGGAAAACAGTGTGGAGGTTCCTAAAACAAAACCAAAACTCCCAGGGCCAGCAAGATTGCTCAGCAGGTAAAGATGCCTGCCACTACGATCCCTAGGATCCACGTGGTAGAAGGAGAGAACTGACTCCCATGAACTGCCCTCTGACTTCTACATGTACCATGGCAACATGCCACCTTCATACACACAAAATAAATACATAAATGGAATAAAAAGCAATTTAGAAACAAAAAGCTAAAAATTCAACTATCTAAAAAGCTGATTCAACTCTGACCCAGCTATCTAAAGAAAATACTCCTGGGTACATAGTCAAAGGAAATGAAATCAGTACACCAAAAGGATACCCTTATGCCCAGTTCCACTGTGATAGTAGTGACAATATCCAAGCTATGGAATCAGACTAGGTACCCACTGAGAGATAAAGGAAAAAAGAAAATATGGTAAATACACACAATTGGGTATTATGCAACCAAAAGAGTGAGAGCATGTAACTTAGAGGAAAACTGATGGAACTGAAGGACATAATGTCAAGTGAAATAAGCCAGACACAAAGTACCCCATGTTCCCTCTCACACATGGAAACTAAGAAAAGAAAAAAGGAAGTCAACCTAAAGCAGAACACTGACTGCTGGGGCCTAGAACAAGGCCTGGGAAGCAGGGCGGCAAGGGTGAAATGCACACTGCACGCGGAAGGACCACAGTGAACCCCATCTTGTGCCCAGATACTATGTGTCAGCCAAAACACAGACCATTTTAGTGAGGCCTTTCACATTGTTTTCTTGCAGACAAACTTGGGCAATGTACAAAGAGATATTTTGGTTTCTTCAGGGGTGTTTTTGACTTTTTTGGTTTTCGGTTTTGGCATGTGCATGTATGTATGGAGGCACAGATACCATGACAAACATATGGAGTTCAGAGAACAAACTTCAGGAGCTGATTCTCTCTTTCTACCATGTGCGTACCAGGGGATAGAACTCAGGCAGTCAGCCTTGGCGGTAAGCACCCTCAGCTGCTGAGCCATCTCACTGGCCAAATTTGTTAGTTTTCTGAGGGTCTCACTAGCCCAGGCTGGCCTTGAACTCTCTAAGTCACTAAGGATGTTTGAACTCCTGATTCTCTTGCTTCCACCTCTCAAGTGCTGGGATTACAGGTGTGCATCACCATGCTTGGCTTTCTTTTCTTAAAAGCTAAAGAAAATATATTCTATAACTTGGCTATAGTTTTGATGTTGAATGTCTCCCAAAGATCTATGCCTCAAAGGCTTGACCCTCAAAGATGGTACCACTGTTAAGCCCTGTGGACCTTTAGAAGCAGGGCTCTGTGTAGGCCCTTAGATTGGGGGTTCTGCTCCCAAAGACATGGTAAGACTCCCTCCCCCACATCCTACCCTCTTTCCTCCTTTGCTCCTAGCTATGAGGTAATCAGTTTGTTCTACCACATGCTTTCCCACAATTGTCATTCAACATCAGAGACCTAAAAGCAATGATTCTACCTAATCATGAACTAGAACCTCTGAAACCATGAGCCCAAATAAACCTTTGCTCTTTATAAGCTGTTTCAGGCATTTTATTATAGTAACAGAACACTAATAAGTTTCATTATATGCCACTTTAAACATTTTTGAGACAATGCTACTTCTGAATAAGCCAAGAGTAATAGATTCATTTCAACTTTTTCATCAGATTACTATTTACATGTAAACACAAGCGTTCAGGAACTCTGGAATACCCAAAAAAGAATCTGCAGAAAAGAAACAATATGGCCTACTGTTCATAGACCCAACTGGTCTTCTAGGATGGTCATACAATTTAAGAAGTGACATAAAGCAGTCAGAGACCACTGGTCATCAGGTCCTGATCAGGTCTTCAACCCTCTGGGGGGGAAAAAAAAAAAGAAAAAGAAGAAAAACATCACTGTCAACCCAGAAAAATGCCACACCCACGGCTGCAGGGGGCTCTCTCTGCTTCAGTCCCTGGCAACCACTACCTGCCTTTCAGCTCCACAGACTTTCCAAATAAATGAACTTGCACAGTATGTGACAAGCTGTCACAAGCTGCTGTCACACAAAATAATGCTTCAAGGTTTATCCATGCTCTAGCATGAATCAGAACTTCAATCCTTTCTATGGCTGAATAATATTCTATTTCTGGATATACTACTTTGTTTATCCATTCATTATTTCACAAACATTTGCACTATTTTCACAAGATTTTATGGCCAGCAAAAAACCAGTCATTTAATTTGACTGCTCAGTTTATAATAAAGACAATGATGCCAGGAAGAAAATGGGAGCTGCCTCTGACTGCATGTATTTAAAACTCACCATCCACACTCGAAATGTCTTCTCTAAGTTCACCTCCTTCCTATGAAGAAAATCCTTAATATGCATGACAGAAACTGCTGCTGTAAAATGCAAGAAAGGCTGGGTTCAAAGGAGCTGGGTGAAAAGAAGGGAAAGTAGGTAGGTTGAAGTACAATCTCTTCACACCAAAGGAACAGAAAAGACCAACAGCTTTAGACCGAGAAAGGACAGGAGGGAGAGAGGGATGGAAGAGGAGAATGAAGGGAAGGAGGAAAAGAGGGAGGGATGGAGAGGGAGGGAGGAAAAGAAAAAGAAAAAAGGGAAGGAGGGAGGGAGGAAGGGAGGGAGGGAGGGAGGGAAAAACAGAGAGGAAAGAGAAAGAGAGAAGGGAAGGAAGGAAGAAAAGGGGAGGGAGGGAAGAAGGGAGAGTTGAATCTCTGGAATCCACATGATGGAAGGAGGGAACCAAGGTACCCAAGTTGTCCTCTAACTTCTACAGGCACACCGTATACAAGCATGACTACACACACAATAAATATTTTTTTTAACGTAAAGGCAAAGAGCCCAACAATGACAACTAAGAGAAAATCAAGAATGCAACATTTTAGGCAACCCATTGTTGGGACTCCTCCCTGAGGCAGGGCACTGTTACTCTGCTTGCTGTGCTCACTCACCCTTCAAAGGGAAGTAATGAATGAATAAACAAAGTAGTATATCCAGAAATAGAATATTATTCAGCCATAGAAAAGATTAAAAAAAGGAAAAGAAAAGCAATATTTCTAATAAGAAAAAATAATAGGGAGATGTCAAAAGGTCGCAAAGGCACTCAGCAGACCTCCAAACAACAAAAGCCAGGAACTAATAGCAACAAAATAAATGATGATAATTTGATGATACCCTTTGACTTGCAAAGGAGTGACACCCCATGAACCTTAAAACTTGGAAATATCCTAAGCTGAAAATTTGCTGAATATATAGTTTAGCAATATTGCACAGTGGTTCCCCTCAGGACTACATGGCTGAGTGGGTGCAGTGGCATGTGTCTATTGTCCCATCTGTTCAGGAGGCTGAGGCAGGAGCATCACACAAAAAGACCTATCAACATCATACAGACAGTGACACCCCATGAACCTTAAAACTTGGAAATATCCTAAGCTGAAAATTTGCTGAATATATAGTTTAGCAATATTGCACAGTGGTTCCCCTCAGGACTACATGGCTGAGTGGGTGCAGTGGCATGTGTCTATTGTCCCATCTGTTCAGGAGGCTGAGGCAGGAGCATCACACAAAAAGACCTATCAACATCATACAGACACGGACTTAATGCACTGGGCTAGTACAACCTACCTTTAGCACTCTTTGGGAAGAGGATAGTTACTCTAACAAAAGAAAAGCTTGAGGCAAACCCGTATGAAGGGAGTTTTATAGAATTTCTAGCCAGTGACCTTTAAGAGAACCAAGGTCATTTATGACAAAGACTAAGGAATTGCCACAAGCTGGGGAGATGAAGGACATTTAACAACTAAGTGCAATTTGAAATCTGGAGGAAATCCAGGACCAAGAAAGGACATGAAGGGGAAAACAGCAAATCTCAAATAAGATCTGTAGACCGATTAATAATATTAGAACAATGTTAATTTCCTACCGTACTTTTCTATAAATCTATTTTATTTCAAAAGAAAATGTGTGGAGGATTTTTTTTTTCTTTTTTTGGCCTTGTTTTGTTTGAGGTTTTCTTGTTTTTTTTGTTTCTTTTTTTAATACAACATACCCAGGTGTGAAACTTTGCTATTTTAATTCCATTGTAAAGAATGACTCATTTTGACTAACTATTGTAATTTTCGTATTAAGAGAGATTATCAAAGGATGTCAAAGGCAGAATCTCCAAACCCAATTCTTACTGTGCCACCTGGATTACAGTAAACAAAGAAACAATGAAAGAAAAACATACTTGCTAAAACCCACATGCCAACTGTTCACAAAGAAATTAGCCAGAAAAAAGCACATGAACATGCTGGTCAGAAATAAATGGCCCACAACACGTGACCACAAACACACACACACACACGCACACACGCACACAAAGAAGCATAAAATGTCAATTAAACAAAACCAAATGAATCAGGGGCTGGGATGTAACTCTGTGATCAAGTTCTTGTCAAATATGTGAATTTAATCCCCAGCACCACAAAAAAGAAATCCAATTTTTTTTTTTAAATCCAACGGAACCAGGTGATTAAGATCATGACTTAAAATTTTCCTGTGGTGGTCAATTTTCCTGAATTTGATAAAAAAGGTTTATTGTGCAATAAAAGTTGAGTTAGTTCTGGTACATACCCAGACTTCAAGTCTGTTATTCTCAAACAGTTTGTAGCATCCAGTCCCACCTTTCCATTCCGGACCACGCTAGATATGGATGGGGACAGCACTGGAGAAATTCGGTTCAAAGCCACTTCTGGGGACATTTTTAACTTAGTTTGTGAGCCACCACTGAAAGCAAAAGGAAAGAACAGTGATCAGTTTTATAAAAAAAATGAGATACTTCCTGACAGCTAGCACAGCACAGTGCTCAGAATTTTCTCTTGCATGAACAAATGCTTTATGCCCCAGTACCACGTCTTCCATTAATCTTCCAGAAGAAACCAGTTCCCTGCTGCTGACTCGGGGCATGGGCTTTCAGGAATATAAGGACTCATGAGGTACAATTCCCTCCTTTCCAAAGATGACTTCTTCAGGCCATAGTCTCCTGAGAGCTTTCCATGCTACCACTGGCTCTCCTACTTTAGCCTTCACTAACAATGCCAACAATGCCATTCCCCAAACACACAAAATGCACATCATCGAGCTAGGAATCCCTCTGTCCATGTCCCCCACGAGAAGTAAGAACTTAGCTGGTGGCAATATGTAAAGCTCTAAAGCAAACAAAACCTGCTTTCAATTGTTCCTAGAACTCACTTATTGCTGACATACCTCTCTTAGTAAGTCCTTCCACAGCTTATTGTAACTATCTGCTTACATGAGCTCTCGCTGCAGAGACTACATCTTCAAATTTGTGTGTAACAAAGCATTTAACATACACTTGGCATCCAATCACATTTTAATAACTAATAAATAAGTAGTAAAAGTAAATAATAAATGTAATAAAAATAAATTTTAAAATAATTTTAAACAAATGAATAAGGGAACCAAAGCTAGAGAAATATTTAAGGATGGAGAGATTATAATATATCCCCTCAAAAACTGCTAAGGGAGGGGCTGGAGAGCTGCTTCAGTGGGTCAAGTGCCTGCTGCACAGCATGAGAACCTGAGTTCAGAAATGCATCACCCATGTTAAAAGCCAGGCCTAATGGCACATATCTGTGACCCCAGCATTGAGGAAGGGGGGTGGTAGATTCCCAAGCTAGCTGGCCAGGCTATCTAGCCAAAATGGCAAATTCTAGGTTCAGTGAGAGACCCTGTTTCAAAACTTAAGGTGGAACATGATAGAAGATACTTGGCATTGACCTCTAGCCACCACACGTGCACACACGGGCAAGCTCATTTGCACACACACAGACACACACATATGCTACGCACATACACACACACACAATACGGGAATAAATATAGCTGAATCTGCAAAATAAATACAGCAAAAATCTATTTAATTAACACTTATGAAAACACAGACCTGTCCAGATATTAAGCAACAAAGAATAATTGAGTCATTTTGGTCTTTGATTTTTCAGGCACTAGGAAGTTCTTACAATTGAAACTACAAATCCAAAAGCAATAAATCACATCTACATTACTTGGAAATTCATCGTGCTGGAGGAGGGAGTACATGAATTCCTAATAGATTTCGAAATGAAAGCCTCTACTTTCAGAGGTGAATAAGTCAATTCAAATAATCATGTCTTTCTTGATCTGAAAAGACAATCCCACATCAAAAACAAATTAATTTCTGGCCAATTACAAGTAACCGCTCTTCTGCTTCTGGTTGTCATATACCACATGAGGACTTACAAGTCACTGCTAAATCCCATACTTATTTTATCATTTTAGATAGTAATAAAGGAATGACTGCAAAGATCTTCCAAATTAAAATACCAGGATTGAAGAGGTGGCTCAAGAGCTAAGAGCGCTTGCTATTCTTTTAGAGAACCTGAGTTAAGTTCCCAGCACCCACGTGGGGTGGCTCACAACTGCCTGTAACTCCAGCTCGAGGGGATTCAATCCTTTTCTGGCCTCCACAGACACCAGCACACACGTGGCATACACACACAGATACATACACATAAATAAAAATAAATCTCTTTTAAAACTTCCATGGGGACTGGAGAGATGGCTCAGTGGTTAAGAGCACTGGCTGTTCTTGCAGAGGACCTGGGTTCAGTTCCCAGCACCCACATGGCGGTTAACAACTGTCCATAACTCCAGTTCCAGGGGATCCAACACCCTATTCTGGCCTCTGCAGGCATTGCACAACATGGGTATACTTACATACGTGCAGGCAAAAGGCACACATAAAATAAATCAAAATAAAATAAAAGCACCACAGTGGCATGCAGAAATACCTTTGAGATGGTAAAGCTTTCTAGTATATACTTTAGTCCCCAAATGACCCTCTCTTGACTCCTTAGCAGATACCTTTCCACTACTATTCTGATAGGTCATCACAAGGCGAGAGCAAACATCTGCGCTGTACTAGGATAAAAATCACATGCATTTTATGACAACACAGCCCTTCAAAAGAGCTTTCATACACAGTATGGCCACTACTCTTCACAATCTGGGTAGTAGGCAGGCTTCTAATTCCCATTTTGCAGACGATATGGGTAACTGTTTTTGAACAGTTCACTCATTCATTCTATCATATTAAAGACTTTGTAAATTCTGCAGTACTTCCACCTTTATCTCTATCCACTGACATCACAGTTCCTGAAGGGATGCTTATTTATATCATATGTAAAACACGGAAATATTCAGCTGTGAGAAGGAGCAAGCAAAGCGATCTCAGATGACAAAATAATTCTTCCAGGATTTTTTTTTCCTCACAGTACCTATTTTACCTCACATTTCTCCAAGATTCTAAACATCACACTATGCACACTCATCATCCACTCCCCCACAGCTCTTACCTAGTGAGTACTGTTCCCATTTCACAAATAAGAAAACTAAAGGTTAGCAAGACAAAGTAACTTATTTAATGCCATACCCATAGCACACGGTTGGATTCAAATTCAGATCCGGATCTATCTCAAAGTTCACTATTCTAATTTTCCTCTCAAACATTAGTAACATTGGTCACTGTAGAGAAGCATCAAGGTGATTTTTTTAAACATGTATTTTATTGCATGTAAAGACCATGAATTTAAACCAAAGATTGCTTTACCACTAGAAACCAACTGGGCTACTGCAGGCCTACTGCTGCAGTTGGCCTGAATGATTCTCTAGTGGTATGCCAAAGGAAACCTGCTCCAGAAACCAAACCATGATAGTGATTGTCACAACCTATTCTACGTCGGCATCTGTCTACACTTTAGGTTCACTCCTGAGACTTCTGGTTTATTTCCAGAACAGCCATCATACTATTTTTTTGACAGTGCAAGATTTTGTGCAACATTAAATGTCTCAGTCATGAGGTGTGATTTCTGTAACAAAGAAGAAAAACTGTACCAACTCCAAAATCAGCAATTAAAAGTCTAAAATAATGGTCCTTTCCGGTAATGCACAGGGATATGGACTGGACACACACAAACACACACATACAAACTTTTATACATGACAGCATTACAAAAGATCCCAGAGAGGCAGGAATTCTGGAGAGCCAGGCTCTTTGGATTGGATAGTTCAGCAATTTGTATTTCCTGACTCTGACGTACTGCAGAAGGAAAAATGCGAAAATACAATTTTCATAGAAATCTGCTGTGGCAAGATAAGGTCACATAAGGTCTTCTGGTGGGCTGGCTGTCTGGGGAACATAAAGACGTGCAAAGCGCTATCCAGGCTCTAGCAATTAGGATAGGATGACAAACACGGAAACATGTGCCCCGTTGACGTCATGGAACGGAAAGGGGTGGCCTCCTGCTGCATCACGTACACGTCATACGGCGCACGAGGGAACTTACACAGGGGGAGCAATTTCTCCGAGGGGCAACATGGGGGTGGGGATGGGGATGGGTGGAGGTGAGGGGGGGCGCGAATCGATGCAGATCGAAAGAATGGCCACCCACTCACTCGGAGGAAACTCTAAAAGGGATTCTCTCCCTTCTCCCAAAATGCATGATGCCTCTGGTCAAGCGGAAAAGAGGCGAGCTTCATCCGGGACCATGTGGGGAAAGAGCAGCTTTGGGCTCGGGGCTGGTTCTGGAGGGGCTCCGCGTGCTGGGGGAGAGCCGGGCATCTGTGAAACCGGGCCTTCTCTTGAGGAAAAGGCCAGAACGCTGGCCATACTTAAACCATGGCTGTCTGCGCCACCTGTGCGACTCGAGATCCAACCTCCCCGCACCAGCCCGGGTCCAGGTACCTGGAACTTAGTCCTATCGGTAACCGGCGACTACGTGGGGCACAGGTTCCCCCGAGCGCGCCCCCGACCGACGCACCGACCTGCGCGCGCACCGCGGGCGCCCGGTGCGTGCGCGCTCCACAGACGTCCCGCCCCGCCCCCTCTGCAGTCAGGCGACGTGCGCGCCCCCGCCCCCAGCCGGACGCTGAAGCAGGCGTCCGGGCTGCGCCTGAAGTGTCTCTCTTCGAGCCTGGCGAGCAGCGCTGACTCCCGCGTGTCGGTTGGGCCCCCCGCCCCGGGCGGGGGATTTGGGTCCGACTGGACTGGGCAGCCCGAGGCCAGAGATTCGGGCATTCGGGTGGGCGACCCGCACCGGCGTGTGGAAGGGCTGCGTCGTTAGGGAGGGACTGTGCGTTAGGGAGGGACTGAGCGGCGTCTCTGGTTGCGAGCAAAGGGCAGCGTCAGGGTTGCACTGGAGCGCGGCGAGGCCATGGCGGCGTCTGGGGAGCCCCGAAGGCCCTGTCAGGTGGAGGCGGCGGCGGCTGCGGTGGTGGTGGTGGGCTCTTGCATGACCGACCTGGTCAGGTTAGTCCCGGGCCGCAGTGCAGGGTGTCGGGAGGACTCGCAGGGTCAGGTCTCCAAGGCCCGACTTGGGATGTGGAAAGAATTCCAGTCTGTGACCATCAACGTCAGAAGGGACGTAGAGGGCGGGCTTAATTGAGAGCCTCCCCACAGCTGCTTAGTGGCCTTGCCTCTTACGCATCACTTGATCCTATAGGGAGTGTGTCTACCTCACAGCCTTGTGAGGACCTCAAGAAGTGTTGTATAAACCGGACCAAGTTAGTTATTATTCGTCTGAGCTTGCGTGGAATTGAAGCAAAAAACACCTTTCACCCTATTGATGGTTGGCATTCCTGCAGTGTTTTATATTTACACCTTTGTGTGTGTGTGTGTGTGTGTGTGTGTGTGTGTGTGTGTGTGACCGTAAGATTAACCTTGGGGCAAACACAGGTGTGAGTCCAAATAAAAACCCATAAACATAAAATTACAACCATTAAAAAAAAACCGATCGGGGCTGCAGAGATGGCTCAGAGGTTAAGAGTGCTGGCTGCTTTTGCAGAGTACCCGGGTTCGATTCCCAGCACCCACGTGGCAACTAACAAGCATCTGTAACTCCAATTCTAGAGGACCTGCCTTCTTCTGACCTCTGCAGGCATTGTACAACACCGTACATTGACCTACATACAGGCAAAACACTCATACACATACAAATTTTTTTTTTTTTTGGAGATTAAAATATTTTATTTTTTCTCTCTAGGATCCTAAATTTTTCGTTCATCCTTTTTATGAAGAGCTTGTGGAAAATATGTTAAAACGATACCTCA